AGATAAATCCCAAGGGAGGGCTGCTCTGTTACGAACAATGGTCTTTCTGGCAGAATCTCTGACAAAATACTGGCGAGGTTTCACTGCATTATTATACATCACAAGAGATTCTGAAGAAAAACTTACAGCTTTTGAAAACAGCCTTAAGGATAAAGAAAGGCTAAAATTATGGCCAATTCCCTAACTAGGGCAGAAAAATAAAGAACACAGGGCTTAGCACAATACTAAAAATTGAAATAAAAATCCTGGATAGACATTTTAGCTATTTCTACAGAAACAGAAGTTTTCTGAAAAAAAGTTCTTATTTGTTGGATTTAGCTGCTTCCTGTTTGATTTAAACTGTTAACGTCTGTTGGGGACATCAAAAATATTGCTCTCTCCTTCATTATATCCTCTGCTCTTAAAGAACCAAACGTTTTTCCCCCTCTTAATCTCCAGGAGAGGGAAGGGGCTTTATATGATCATTGTCACTTGAGTTTGTCCCATGAGAAAGAAAAGTTTGTGAAGTAGGAAAGGACACTGTAGATATTATGAAGTAAAGTAACGTTGGTCTTATTTACTTTTCAGTCAGATTGTCGTTTTGAACGTTATTTTGATTCATTAGGATTTATATATGTGATTATTCATATAATAGATATTTTCTGCCTGAGAAACTGCACATTTTTTTTACCAGTGCTATCATTTTAAACGTATTTATTAAAAAATTAAAACCCACAAGAGTACAAAGACTGTAATCAGAAACAATATTAAATACTCATAAACATGTTGATTGTAACTATAAGTCAGGTACAAGGGGACCTTTCTAATGCTTTCTTTTTTCCTTCTTTTGTATATTAATATGTTAATTTCTTCTTAGAATAAAAAGAAATAGTTGTGATATTAATATTTTTCAGAGTTTTGTAAAGATTTTTATTTTCAAGGATATAATGTTCTCAGTTCGATACAATCAATTAATTAATACGATATTGCCATTTAATTTTTATTACAGTAAACTCTCTGCTTACTGTTATTGTATCCTTTTTTCCTTGCTTTTTTTTTCTTTTCACCTCTTTGTTGTTATTTAAAATGTTTTAATAAATAAATGGTGAGGAAAAAGGAAAGGAAAGAAACAGTATATATTTAAACAGGATTATTATTTTATTATTATAGGTATTCTGAATCACATAACAAACTCCTAAACATAACAGTCATAAAAAGTTTACCTTTCTACCTTGATTTCATTTGCACTGGATTTCAAGTAGAAATTAATTATATTCCCACAAAAAATAAATAGAATAAAACCAATTAAAGGGTGAAGCATCTACTGTATGTAAACCTGAATGAAATTGCAGTATAAAATATTGTAGCTTTCCTCCAATAACTTCTTCTGGATTGTTTATTATGTTAGTTGATTTTTTTCATAACAAACATATGACTTCTATTTACTATAGAGGAAAGACAAGGTACAGAAAGTATCTCAGTAATTTAATATGAAATGCTGAAATTGCTGTCTTCTGACAGCTCACACATGTATACGCATGTGTGTTCAATTTTCTTCTGTGCTCCTAATGACTGTTTATTTGTGATTGAAGTTCACAAATAAGATTTTGAAGTTGATGGTTTTTTTTTCCTTACAGTATCAAATACCTCCAATTGGGCAATAAATCTGTTTTTTAAGAATCCATCCTATATGGAAACATAGTTAGCCTTCTACCGTGGGACAAATGAAAGCATAAGGATTTTGTTTTAAAATCACAATAATAGGGGTCCATAATATTATCATAATAAAGAAGGAAGGATAGTGCAATTCATTATTTTCCCACTTGATAGATCTCATCTTGTTAATCAAACATCATGCCTTAAAAGAATATATGAAAACAAATAAGGAATTAATAAATGTTCATGGCCTTTGTGCATTGTAAATAAAGGTGTGTGTGTCTGTGTGTGTGTGTGTGTGTATCTTTAGCCAGGTTCTACCTACGTAAACCAAGATATTATGCAGCCCTAGTTCAGTGAAATCACAATTCACTAGTTTCTGGGCTTTTTTTCTTCTGGCAGTCAGCAGACCCTTTGCTGCCCATTGGGAGACTAAGATAGATCTATTTCGGCCTTATAAGGCCTCCTCAGTTAGCCACACCCTCATTTCATGTATCCTCCCTGTAAAGGTACAATATTTGTTTTTCTTTCATATATATATGAAACTTCAGTACAAGAATTATTCCTACTGTAATGAACATCACAATTACGAAAATATTTGTTGCATTCAAAGACGTACAACTGGAATCTAACTCATTTAGTACAGGAAGGTTGAGAGTAATGGCAATGGGAGTAACATAAGCAAGAGCATTCAGATTAGGGCTAGGTTCAGGGGTGGGATTCAGCCAGTTTGGGCCGGTTCAGGCAAGCCAGATGCTAAACTGGTTGCAAGGACTGGCTGGCCTCTGGAGGGCCTTCGGAGCCCGGGGAAAGCCATTTTTGCCCTCCTGGAAGCTCGAGGAAAGCCTCTGGAACTTGGGGAGGGTAAAAACCCCGTGGTGCAGAAGGCTGAATAGGCCACGCTCACCATGGCCACACTCACCCAGCAACCAGGCAGAGCACCTGTTGCTAAACTTTTTGAATCCCACTTCTGGCTAGGTTGTCTAAAATCCAAGAGTTACTCAAGATATATTGAAAGTAGAAGGATAAAAGTCAGCAAGTCTTCAAAGTCTTATCTAATATCTGAATACTCACTCTTTTGCTTTCACAAAGCAAAAGCAAGGTTTTATAAACATTATTCAACTGTCTACTAGTGTGATTTCAATAAATTCTATAGAGTACGGTTGCTTATTTTCAGGTTTTAGGGATGATAATGAGGCCAAAAATAGGCCAGTTGTAAATGTTGTCTTTATTATTTAACTGAAACTTATATAACACTGGAAAAGAAGAAATCTGCATTAAAAATAGACTCAAATACACACATTTAAGCTCACACTAAAGGCCTTTGTTTGTTTGAGCTGTCATTGCACATTTTATTTAACAGTAGCTAGAAATAAAAATGTGCAACACTACCATAACACTTCAAATTGCAAATCTAGCACTTAGTGATTTTCTATGAGGATGATGATGTTGTGTATCCTAATAACCTGTGAAAAAAATGTTGGAAATTAGTTCTTCTTCCCAAGGAGCTACCTTTGATTTAATTGAAATTTTCTCTTACTGCCTAAAATTACTCTGACCAATTCTACCCAGGTCCATCCTATTATTCACCAGTATAGGTCATGATATAATTTCAGAAATGTTGAAAGTATAAATTCAAAATTAATATGGGAACTATGCCTGAAGTCGGAATGGGATCATAGTATGTAGGCAGAGGAAGGCTTAAATTGACAATTTGCACTGAGTTCAAGTATGAGAATCACAGAAGACATAGTTTGTTTCATCAGTTGTGCACAATCTTTTATTCTTACATTTTGGGTTTGATAGCTTTATCCTTGATTTGTTCATTCTAGTTGTTGTTTTTTTCTTATTTTAAAACATATAGTAGCAAGAGGCAAATTATGAGATCTAATTATGTAGAAGCCACTAGAGAAGTTGGTCCTTTAAGTTTGGAGTAAGAAAGGGCCATAGCTCAGTGAATAAGCATACACATTTTACCAGCAGATGATCACAGAGCTCTGTTCATACATTTCTAGTTAAAAGGATCCAAATGTGGGTGGTTTTAGAAGTGGCATTCACAAAGAGAAATGCTGGGATAATATGATAAAAGATTCTTTCCTTTATTGCATAAAATGAGTAACAACCCAAATCTATATGCTACCACTATAAAAGCAGCATTTTATATAAGACAAATCACTATGGGATTTGCTTTTTCTCCCATACACTCATCTTTTTCATTTTTATATTCTTTACTATTATTACAACCCACAATATTTTTTAATGAAATGCAATGCACCCACAAGGTTTTGTGGATTTCATTCACAAAATGTGTGCATAGGCTTCCAATATGGGAACCATTTAGTACCTCATTTCCAAACTAAGATTGACATGTAAGGTGCTGTAGCTGGAACACATAATACAACATACTTTTTATTTCTTGTCCTTTCTACACACTAAATATTATTTTTAGACTGAAATATTACAGTGACCTCTCAGGAAAGGAATAGGGTGATTATGTCAGCTTTTGAATGTGTTGTCCTTTAATTCTGTAGATATATCAGTATCTATTATATCTGATCAAGCATCCAGAATGTCTTTTTTTTAAGTGTTGAGAATATGGCTAATATAAAGATTGCAGCTGAAAGTAAGGGAATTGGCTTCTTAGCAGAATTCAGGAATGTAGGTGTTCCTGAATCCTGTTTAGCTTTCAGAACTGTATAAAGATATTTGCTCATTTTGTGATTTATTTCCTACATTAGGTCCAGTGGAACAAAAAAGCTTTCAATGATGATAGTGAAGAGACTACTAGATTTAAACAATATTCTTATTCATATCAAATATAAAACCTTTCTCTTATATTTACCAGAACAGCTTTACGGATAAGTTACAATGATAGATAAATAACTGATCTAAAGTCATTCATGACTCAGGGATATTTGATCTGAATCTTCCAGGTTCTGATTTAACACAAATGTTCATATATTTATATTCATATAAATGTTCATATATAACCCCATTCTTCCATAAGCATTTACAGGAATGCTTATGGAAGGATAGGGACTATTTTATTGTATGTCTGAGGACTGGACATAAAATAAGAGTTTTAGAGCAAATTGCTCCCACCCTGAAATTTATTTTTCTGGCACAAATTTTGGTAGATTGTTTCCTGTTTAAGTTTGCTGGCATTCTCAGTGATGAGAATGATGTATGTTCCATAATTGCTGCCTTCTTCCTACTGGCTTCACTATTTCCTGCCCGTATTAATCGATTTTATTACATTCCGATGCTTACAAATCATAACAAAGCCTGAAGATATGCAAATTTGAATGGCTCCAACTAGGCACACATTGATAGCAGTGACATGAGCCAGTCTTTCTCTCCTGCAGACCCGCCAACTATCACGGAATCCAAGAGCAATGTATCTGCTACAGGGCGGCCAGTTTCACTTAAGTGTGCAGCGTCTGCTGTGCCTACGCCTGATTTTGAATGGTACAGAGATGACACTAGGTAATTATGCTATTTATCTTCTTTCTGTTGTCTCTGATGTCTAGCCTAAAAATGTTCTCTTTATACTCAATGCTCACTTTCCAAAAATTCCATCACTCATCTTCTTTTTTTCTTTCAACATTCCACCCACTAGCCGTATGACCACAAGTTAGCAACAAACACAGGTATGGTATCTGTATAATATCAGTTGTGCTTTGAAAACAAGCCCCACACATATTTGAAGGGAGTGCTAAGCATCTAAATAAAGGTTTGCAGCATAGTTTTGCAAGATTTAGATGACAAAGGTCTATCTGAATTGTGTCGAAGTATTGATACAATAAAATGGTTAATTTTTTATGCCACAAGATTCTTTGGTGTGTTTGCTGAAAAAGACTAGGATAGCTAGTCAGCTAGAAAAATAGTCAATTATGGGGAAGGATTGGAAAAGAAGAGGGGTAAAGCAATGTAGAATAGAATAGAATAGAATAGAATAGAATAGAATAGAATAGAATAGAATAGAATAGAATAGAATAGAATAGAATAGAATAGAATAGAATAGAATAGAATAGAATAGAATTTTATTGGCCAAGTGTGCTTGGACACACAAGGAATTTGTCTTGGTGCATATGCTCTCAGTATACATTCTGAGAGCATATGCAAATCTTACCACATTATTTATGAATTAATGAAAAAGATAATTAAAAAGCCAAGAATAAACTTGTAGATAACAAATTATGTAACTTTCATAGTTTTCTCCCTTTCATTCTCATATAATCCTCTGTCTGTATCAAAGTACCCTTCTCATTCCATATCTGTCTGCAGTCTGCATTGAACTTTAAAATCCTCATACTTACCACATACAAAGAATACACAGTGTTACTGTATTTACCATTGACTTTTCTTGATTCTCAGGATAAATAGTGCCAATGGTCTGGAGATCAGGAGCATAGGGAGCCAGTCCTTCCTGACAGTGACCAATGTCACTGAAGAACATTATGGCAACTATACCTGTGTCGCTACCAACAAACTGGGAATCACAAATGCTAGCCTATTTCTTTACAGTAAGTATGGAAGCGAAAAGAAAATATCTGAGTGAATTTCACTGTTGTAGTGAAAAGGATGCTCTGTAGATAGGACAATCTTGGATCCTAAAATGAATTAAGCAAAAGAAAAGAGAAAGTGAAAACAGCATTCTACTCCATTCTCATATCCAAAAATAAAATAAAATAGGAAGATCTTCTTTAAAGTCAGGGCTTACTTCTAAGTAGTATTGCTTAGATTTTCAGTATAAATTAATTTAGTTTCCAATGCAACAAATCCAGTTCCATTTGGAAATAATACTGTTAAGTGGTATTATTCATAATTACATCCCAGCCTTAAACTAAAATTAGTGTGATTGAAAGCCATCATCAAGATATAGAGTATTAATATTAGAAAGCAGCTAACAGAGTACAATTATTGTTTTAATTATTGATGAAAAGTAATTTGACAACATAGAGAAAAAAATGCAAGTTGAAATAAGGACAGAAAAGTTCTCTTTCAAGACACCTCAAAAGAAGTTGAAATCATAGATCAAAATCTAATTTTTCTAAAGGTTATTTTCATGAGCTGGGAGAAAAGATGAATATAGTCCATTTGTAAAAAAGAGAGAGAGAGAGAGACAGAGACAGAGAGAGAGAGAGAGAGAAAGTCAATCTTAACCACAGCTAGATACATATTTTTATAAAACATATATAATGTTTGACATGGTCCTGAGACTAACTTTCCATCATTCCCAAGTATAAATGATTAATACAAATTTCTATTTGCACTGCCAAAGAAATGAAGGTAATTCTATAGCCTTAATTGTAGGCATTTTGAAAAGTGTGAACAAAAAAAAGTGAAAATAAAGCAAATGCTGCCTTTTGGTATAGGTTTACATTTTTCAACTTAACTTTTTTGTTAAGAAAATAATCAAGCCGAGAAACAGGTGCAAAATGTATCTATTTAAGCACATATGCATGAATGCATTTTCTGAGTTCCAATTTATCTTTTCTTAATCTTTGATAAAAATAGAATATAAAAAAATCAAGTTATTTCTTAACTCAGCAAGGTCTTTTAATAGTCTTTTCTTGGAAACATAATCAAGAAAGACAACTATACCATTAGGCAGCTGAGGGATAGTTAGCAGCTGGGAGGATAGAGAGACTTGTAGAAAATTTACCCTTCAATAAAAATACCCTTTAACTTATTAGCCTTCGTGTACAAGAATACATTCTTCAAAAAGATCTAATTCTGATGACAGATAATACCTGAAGCAATGATTCATTATTGAATGGGGTCCAACACTTTCTTAACTATTGTGGTAGACCAACTAATTTAAGCTTCAAGTCAGACTAAAATACATTATTTCATTCTGTGATTTATCTTGGAGATCTGTAATGGATTATACTTCTTTGGGGTTTTTTCAGCAATTTTCAAGGTCTTTATCTAGTTAGCACAAATTTGAATGAGTCATCACCTTTTATCTCTGACTTCAGAACTTATAGCTTTTGAAAAATATAAATCAATAATATGGCTAAGAACAGATGAGTACCGTTGATACTTTTATAAATAGCTAGGTAAATGCAACTATAAGGCAATGTTGGTCTTATGAGGTTCATTGGTAAATGTGCCTCAAAAAGCAGATTTGGAAGCACAGTGCATGAGAGCAGAGACTCAATCACTCATGCTTCCTTACATCCACAAATCTGCAATTATTACTCACGAGGTCAAAGAAATAAACCAAAAGCAACTGTTGTTCAGATCATCCTTGAAAGTTGCTGCAGTTTTGTTTGACTTTAATTGTCTCAAATGTATCACAGGAAGAAGTAGATGAAAGGCAAGGAAAACAATAAAATAAACAGCCATTGTAAATATGGGACATTATTTTGACTGTGTGTATCCTGTACATATTGAAGCAATGTTGAAGCAACAAAAAGAAAAACCACACTTAAAGATTTACAGATATAAACAATGAAGTTCTAGCCTTTTTAGCCTGGATGCTCAACAGTTATTCCTTCCTTTATATCCTCTTTCATTTCATTTCCAAGTTATCCTTTTGCTCACTAAAAAAAGCAGTAAAAGAGGAAAACAGAATATGTATCAATTTGCAAGAATTTGTTTTTGTAGAAAGAAAAGAAAAAGAGAGAACTGCTGGACTTTCTGTTTTGCAGAAGGAATTTCCTTGTTCTAAGATATTTGTCTTTCTTTAAATAAAACCTAGCCATTCTTTGCAGTAGGAAATGTGCAATGGACAAAGAACAGGAAGATCTATTTATGGGCAAAGGCTGATTTACTTTCAATCTTTCTTTTTCATTGTGCCTGTCTTAGCCCTGGTAAACGCTATAGGACTAACGAAACTCTTCCTATGCCTTCTGAAAAGACAACCTGATTAATTCAGTAGGACTTATTCTCAGATAAGTAGGCTTGAGTCAGCACTGTAAATCAATGAAAGCAAAAGACTATATATTGTTTAACAATTTCCTTTTTATGTGGTCTTCCAAAAATAATATGAATGAGTAGAGATTTGTGGATCACTTACTCTCTTCTTCAGTCAGATACTTCACATTTTATAGAGCAAAGAATCTGGTAGTACTTTTTAAAAACAAATCTTGTTCTGAAAGATTTATGCCCTTTAATTAGATCTGCTAGTCTGCAAAGATACTTTCATACTCCTTCTGATTTTTGGTTACCACAAGCTAACATAGCTTTCCTCCTACAAGGACATCTCTTATATGTCATTCTGCTTTGGCGAAGTGTCAGGAATGGGTCAGGCACTTACTTCATTAATAGCAGTTGCTGCATATAGTAGATAGTTGCACATATCAAGGCACAGTGAGAAACAAAGAAAGCGTTTTTTCTCCTACCCATTTCAATGAGTTTCTTGAAATAAAACACTTTTTGAAAATCTGCCCAGTCCTGTTGATTGGGTTTATATATTTTGTTTTGTGCCTTCTAATTGCTCCATTTTACAATGAATAGTACCAAGAAGGCTTTCTAGCAGGCAGATTCTCACTGCCTCAACAGGCTCCTGAATATAAATAGTAGTAGTAACAGATTGGAAGAGGCATTTGGCCAGACTTCTATTAGTAACATACATACCAGGAAGAACGAAAGTGTTATGCTTTATTTTCTTGCCTGTTCTCTGTTTAGAAATTACTATCATGCTCTTCCAGCCAACGCTTTAAATTCATAGTTATAAAAGGGGTTTGGTTTAATTTTTTATTGAGAAAAAGAAATTGAAGAATACTTTCTCTGGTTTGGCTATATAGCAGTCTAGATATCTGAGAAAGTGCTATGAAGGCCAGTCAATATCAGAACTTGGGTTGGTGTCACTATTTGATAATAATGAATCAAAGTTTGTAAACTACAAAGATAACAAGTTCAGAGTTCCCCATGCTATCTATATTTTTCTCTGATATAATGTATCAAATATGTTCTACCTCTCTGTAGGTTCCTACTGGCATATTATATACAAGATAATGTACAATACAGGTATAGCAATGTGGGAATACCAGAATAGCTCATTGTCCCCAAGTGAAACCTATTCTTCACATGTAAACAAATCTCTCATATTGCCCATAGAGAATAGAGAAAGTCAGTATTTATGTGTCTGAAGACCCATTAATTGAAAGCTGGATAGTCTGTACCTGGTACAAGTAGTCCTAGACTTACAACCATTCTTTTAGTGATTATTTGAAGTTACAAAGGCATAGAAAAAAGTGATATGACTGTTTTTCATACTTAGGATTGTTGCAGCATTCCCGTGATCAAAAATTTTGATGCTTGGCAACTGGATCATATCATTGACGGTTGCAATATCCTGGGGTCATATGATCAATTTATGTGACTTTCTAACAAGCAAAGTTAATTGGGAAGCCAAATTTACTTAACAACCATGTTACTAACTTAACAACAGCAGTGATTTGCTTAACAAATATGGTTGTAAAGTGAGACAAAACTCACTTAATAACTGTCTTGCCTAGCATTTCAATTTTGGGCTCAATTGTAGTGGCAGGCCGAGGACTACCCGTACTATCCTTCACAAAAAGCAAAAAATAGATAGGCTTAAATTGTTTTGGAATTAAATATGAATGTTCTGATTTTCATATGCAAGCAAGAAATAAGGAAAAGCCCCACCAAAAGCACATCCAGGGACAAACTGAAGAAATAGAATGAGTCCTTCTGTTTTTTAATGGTTTTCTTTTCTTTTCTGAAATTAACACATCAAATTTCTAAATACAGCCCCGAAGAGGACACTTTGTCTAGAGAACTTCCTGTTTCCTTGGGAGATATTGATCACAAAGAAGTGTTATGATATCATACCTATTGTCTGATAAAATTGATTTATCAATTTTGTATTTATTTGGTGTCATTAAGGTCTAAAAGTGCACATGAGTAGCAGAGCATTCTTACGTAATTCTAAAATAATTTAAACCATCATACTATGCAGACAATAGTAGGGGTAAATCCTAACAAAAATCAAGTATATTTCAGGTTTCTACCTTCATTTAAATTTTTATTCTCAAAACCATCCGAAGAACAAATAAAATGCAGACTGGAATCAGTCCTAGAACCGAATTCCTATATGTTTTCAATATAATGTCTGCAACAAGACTATATTCTATTGTGAGAGAAAAAGCAGGATAAGTGTATATATTCCTGTCCATCTATGTACACTCATTCATTCAACATCACCTTAACATACATACAGGCTCAAGGCCTTAGTATGACTAATTAAAGTTTGCTGTAAGGTAGGGAAAATATAGTTATTTTTACAATGAAATAGAGAAATTAAAAAAAGAGATCCCAAGAAACTGGCCATCTGAATTGTGCAAACTGAGCAGACATACAACTGTCTCAGCATTTTGAAAATATGAAAATGTGGTGTTCCTATGCATATACACATGTGCTAAAAGGAGCACAATTTATCACTCTCCAGCTTTGTAGAAACATTAGACTTCAGAATAAATCCTGGTGCTTACTTTGCAGCCAGAAGGGGGAAAATGCATTACACAAAGCAGCTGTTACCAATTGGGGAGTCATTTACTAAATTTAACTATGCAGGAGCCTGAATTATTGTTTCAGAAGATATGAAGGAGTGGTATTCTTAAGTTCCTGTACAATCCCATGAAAAGATATGACTATTTTAAAAATGAGAGGTGTTGCTATGTTTATATTGTCATAGATTCCAAAGCATCTTTTCAGAACTAAATCTAACATTTCTAGCATTAAGTCAGAGGACATACAAATATATGTACCCATCACATACAGTACATACCTGTCAACACTATTCCATTTTCTAGTAAGCAGTATTTTGCAAAGTTCAAAAGAAGCATAAAAAGTTTTAGGCAAAAGAAATTGGAAACATTAAAGTAATTCTAGTTTACACTAACTCTGTTCACCATACCTCCCCATACCTTTAGGTTTATTGTGAGAAATCTGCTCACTTAAAATAGTAGTTGATTAGAGATAGTTGAAGTAAAGTAACCTACATAGGGATTTGCTAATCATCCATACTTCTATCACATCCATTTTTCACTTCATATATTGCCTTTTTGCTTTTAAGGTGGTCAGTTCACATTTTGAGGAACTTACCAACTTCATCCATCCATGGTTTTCTTGGTCTTCTTCTTTCTCTCAGCCTCATTCTTCCTTCTTACATTTGTTTTCTAATTTTTTTCTCAATGCATGACCAAACCACTTCAACATACTTATTTTTTACATCTTTTGTATTATGCACTCAGTTTTGCAGTGCTTTCAGACATCCCCAGCCAAAGATTCTAATAGTTAATTACCAATTTCTAAATGTGGTTATAAAATGAAGTATGCAAATGTAGTGTCTTTTTAAGGTATCAACTATGGTTTGAGTAAGATGGCTACTTCATCCTCTTCAATGTCAACTCTCTCAGGTAAATCAGACAGGAAACAACTAGATGAGCGAATTCTATTTTATTGTAAAGCTAAATTAAGTCTGAAGGTGCAAACTTCTCACTGCCACTTTAACTACATCATCAATTAGACTAGGTCCTTCCTAAGTTTCTTTCTCTGTCTATTAAGCCATTGGGGCCACCTCCCTCTCTTGTCTGACTGTTTCCTATATAGTATCTCTTCCTTTCATCCCCCATGGTCATCCACATATTCCATTACACCCAGGATTCAAAACTAACTAGAGATTACTGCCTTACAGTCTCTTTCTTTGTCAGGAAAGATTCCATGAGCCAGTGTATTCATCATCTCTTTGTTCTTCGCCGTAGTCATTGTCTCTAGTTTTCATCTTCACTCTTCCGTTCCTTCCTCTCAAACTAAGCACCATTCATTCATGACACTGTCACTTGAACCTACTGCACACATTTCTAAGCTGTTTTCAATTTATTTTTTGTAGATATATTCAACTGACACTTTCATATAACAAGTTAGGCAAAAAGCATGCTCTTAAAGCAGGCATTTTAGTTTCTTTTAATAACCAAAATCAATCTGTAACTTCTCTGATTTTTCATGCCATGCTTGCCTCAAGCATTTTACTCAGAGGTATAGTGTCACACAGAGTAACAAAATAAGTTAGAATCATTAGGGCAGTGCTAGAGTGGAATAAGAAAGGTGTCCCACAGCAGGCAGCAGAAAGGAAATGTAGTTTTTCACAAAGCGAGGCAGTAATGAGGCCAGAATGCTTTAGAATAACCACTTGTGAAGAAGTGACTTGCCAACTGTGTGAGAAAAAAGCAAATAGGCTTATGTTATTTAAACACACTAAATAACAAGAAAATCTTATCACTGAAGCTGACTGTTTTCCCTTAACAATAAGCCCCTATGGCTCCATAAACACTAACTTTCAGTCTAGCTGTGTATTTTCCAGGCAAAAAGGCAATATCTTCTTGCACCTGCTGAGTGGTAAAACACTCGCGTCAAGGCAGTTAGCGTAGGGAAATCTGTCATTATTCCCAGGTATGTACTTGACCTTCTGTTTCCTGATTTGTTTATGGACTTTCCAGCAAGTCCGGTTGTAATAATACAGAGTGCTCTACCTAAGGAGTATTGAATCGCTATTGGGTGCTGAACAAGTTTATAAGTAAATAATAACTGGTTGCCCCCTTAAAAATCCTGTGGGAAGTTCTGGCATAACTTTACAAGCAATTCTCCTTCCTGGAGTTTACAAATTCTAGCTACAGTTACATATTTCCTACATATTTTGTACAAGTATATAGTATGACTGGTAAGGTATAGAAGGGAATTTACTGAGTTTCAAAACTTTCCCTTAAAATGAATTAATCTCATATCTTTCCAAATGTCTGTTTAACCTTTCCATTGCCCCACCTTACACTTTCTTTTAACCCACATTTCTTTCACAGTGGAATATAAAAACTATCGTAATGGATCAGGGCAGAATTAGGTTTTATATAGTGTTACATTTTCTACAGGGGCAAAGTATGCATATTGGAAACCCCTGTAACAAAGCATAACAATTATGGCTCTCTTCCTAGCTGTTCCTAGTGATTGACAATTAGAGGTTTACTGATTTTTATCCTGGAAAATGTATTTAATCACTAGGACAAGTATTGTAGCTATTGATAGTTTTATCAGTAGCTAAAGTGGGTAGGAGGATGCTTAAGCAGAGACAAAATCTCTCCAGAAGGCTCTTTGTTATACATACCCCTTCATAGCACTCAGAACTCATCATTACAATGGCCCAAGAGTCCGGGAATTGGATAGTCATAGGTCTCCAGGCCACTGCATTATAGTGTTCACCCACATGCCTTGGAGAACCATGTTTCATAAGCTTTATGACATTCGTAATACTACATTTGAGTCCACAGGAAAGGAGGCTGATGGCATTGTACAAAAGGGACCATAAATATCTGTGGGGGATTTGTTGGCACCAAACTTACATCTGAAAAGGAAGCATGTCAAAGTACATGGCAACCTTTGTTTGGTGCTTCCATATATATGTAAAGGGAAAATCCCAGAATTACCAAACAACGTATCTACAATGTTGTAGCCCAATGCATATGGAGAGCAACAGATTGGAAAAAGCTAACTAAAACAGGGAGACTAGGGTTAAAGTCAAATTGTATTCTGGTCCAGTAATATTATGTTGAGTGAAGCAAGATTGCCTATATTCAGCATAATGTCCACGGGCACGTATAATTAATCTCTTTTGGAATACATACTACCTTGTCATTGCTCTGAATTATCAATGAGGTTTTTAATCTTTACTAGTATTAATTTTCTAGTTTTTTTTTAAGTAGAAACCCTGACTTCTATGTGATTCAGAATTATGAAGAACAAAATCAAGTTGACTTAATTGTGCATGAATGTGCTGTCTTCCAAAGAGTCATCCACTGTAACTAACTCTACAGCGGTGCTTTTATAAAATTCTTTCTTCATGAAAAAAGAAACAAAGGCTTCTCTCAGACAGATGTTTCTTGACAAGAAAAAAAATTATATAACAGTTCCATCCTTTCGTCCTTCATAGAAAGTGCTTATTAAGAAGAAAAATGAAGAAATGTTGGTAAAACATAGGAGAATTACAAATAGATGGCTAAGACATTCATAGCAATTCTTGAGGCAGAGTACTTTATCAATAAAAGCCTCATCTAGAAACTCTCAGAATGGTAACTTGGTCAAATGAGCAGAAGCTAGTTAGATAGTGCTATAACATTTTTAATGAAATTCAAAATATTGTTGATTACATCTGAAAAAATCTTTTACATGAAAGACTTCTGATGATAGACAGACAAAAATGTAATGAGGAAAACAGAATGAAATGATGATCATGAAAATCAATTTTCACAATGGAAAATGTTCTCATAATTTCTTCAATCCTGGCCCATATATATGGTGTAATGTATAATGGATTTCTTTAGTAATTACCTTTCAGCAATGTCACAATATACATTAGTTGTATCAATTCCAATTACCAAATTAGGATGTTTGTACAATTACTTAATTAATGAGGTCATGGTATCTTAACTCTCTTTGCTTACTGTACATTGTATTGTGTTTTGTGTCATCTTCAAATGAGCCTCATTCCAGTGTTTGATGTCACACATTTAGATCTTTGGGGTAGAAGTGTTCGAGTCAAAGCAATTTCAGTCTGGAAACTCTTCGGATTTATAACTGCTGCTTGTTGCATTTGGAAAGTTCATATTGCTTATTGTTTTGCTTTGTTGTTTTCTCATCTCTTAGAGAAAATATTACCCACACTCCCCAATATTTTTCCAGGTCAGTATGTGTTTTATGTCACTTAGCTTTTTAGTTGGGTCATTCTCCATCAATTGAACAAGTAGTAAGTAAGACTAGGTAGTTAAATATTGCTTAAAATTTCAAAATACAACAATTCATCCTGACTGCATCTCCAGTTGTTTCCCTCCCTATCTATTCACTCTGTAGCTAATAAACTAAATCAGTTCTCAAGCCATGAGTAATTTAAATGTAAATCATCTTAAACAATTCAACTTATTCAAGTTTCTTCATTAGCTTTTCTCTACAACCCAGATAGTATAGTACATAGTTCTCTCTTGTATGGCAACTGATAGACAAGTATCAGCTCAGAACACTATGGGTGATAGATAGGATTGAGAATATTAACTGACTTATTATCCCATATTAAAGTTTATCATTAAGGAAAGCAGTGATGGCAGTGATGCCACAGAGAAGATTGCTAAATTAACCCTCTACCTAATATGTAAAGGTGGCTTTTGTTATATTATAAATAAATAAATAAATAAATAAATAAATAAATAAATAAATAAATAAATAAACAAACAATAAATAAACAATAAATAAACAAACAAACAAATAAATAAATAAAATGTAGTTTCTACCTAAAAACCTTTGTATATCCATTTAGTTTATAATAACCTGCTTTCCACCACAAAAAAATTAGAGAGAGACAATTCTTAGCTTTTAAAGTACTACTTATTAAAATATAGGATTTTAGCAAACTAGCTCTTAACCATAGAGTAGTCTTTTTGAATTGAATATTTGGATTCTGTCAACAATATTCAGGACCAACATACATTATTTTCTCACAGTTCTGAATAATTTTCTAACTTTGCTGTTCTGGTTACTAGTGAAGACTATATAGCATGAAAGAAATGGGTCTTAAATGTACAGTCATCAAATAGTCTTATATGAATTTTACAAGTGACATTGGCATATTGCCCAGAAATAAGCTATACTGAATACCATATATTTTTAAATAAATATTCATGGTATTGTACCACCAATATTTTGGATCTTTTGTTTTATTTTCAGATTAAGCTTTTGTTGTACATGTTCACTCAGGATGAGACATTGGGTCTATTTTTTCAACATTTGTTTCACAATTGTTCCACTGATTTTCAAGGGGAGCTTTTTCAAATGGCTAAAATGTTAATAATGCTATTGACTAAAACTGAGTAAGAAAAAAAAAAGTAAAACTAAAAATAGAATTAAAAGATACACAGAGGCAAAGTAAGAAGCAATTAAATTAAACCTATTGTAGTTATATACAAATAACAAGAAAAGAAATATTATAAGCCATTGGGGAACCACCATTGGAAAAATAAATCAATTAAATGATCGTATAAACAAAAAGGTAAATATACAGAAGCAGTTTTAAAAACTAAAAACTGTTTTGGTTTAGTTTCAGCTTCTCTGTATTATTTACCCTTTGGCTTTATGGATGAAAAAAAAAGTTTATACTTAAATTCATAGATTCTATTATTTGTCTTATTGAACACTGACACATCATAAAGAAAAATATTTTTATTGTTACTTGGATATTTGTTTATATCTATTTTTTCTGTATAAATCCATGCAAATGGGTCCCAGATTCCAGTATAAAAATATAACTACCAGTATGTAGTAAAAGTATTCAGAGACTATCAAACAGACATAAAACAATGGATCCAAATAAGATCCTTCTATTGAATTTAACCTTTTATGTTACCTTGTTGAAATTATGTTTTCAGAACATATTGAAAGATAAAAATGGAGAGAAGAAGCAGAGTGGTTTAAATTGGAACAGCATTCCTAAATTTAACTAGCATCATTGAGGGAGCTCTGCACCCATTATATATTAGCCAGACTGGTTTTCTATATTAATGGGGCAAAGAAGATAAATCCCTAAAACTTGCCTTAAAATTCAGAGCATTAATGCAAATCACCAATTCTGGTGATTTTAAGAAATAGAGAACACTAAAAAATTAATAGTGGCATTTCAAGAAAACTGAGTTGTACTTAAACTTCTCTTTAAATAGAACTTGAGTGTGTCTAATTAAACTGCAGTCCTAAACATAGTAGTAAAAATAAAATATTTTAGGGTACATAGAACCTTCTTCTGAATAAATATGTTCAGAATTGTATTATATCCTATGAATGTTGCAGTATGGTATATTGACTTGATTGGAACTTAACTTCTCCACAGGACAAGATCAGAATATTTTTTTTCCAGGAACTGATTCCCTAGCTATAAATATAAATATGTCTTAATTGTATTAAATCAGTGGTGGGTTCCTCCCAGTTCCTCCCGGTTCCGCCGAGCCGGTAGCAGTGATAATATGATGTCACCGAACCGGTTCTCACCCACCCACCCACCCCCCGTGTTATTCTTACCTTTTATTTGGCCCCACCCCCAATCTATTGCTGCCTCCTGAGTCCCAGCTGATGGCTAGAGGGAAAAAAACTGTTTAAACTCTTGCCGCGGGGCTTCAAAGAGCCGCCCTACAGCTGATCAGTGTTAAAAGAAAACAAATGAGTAGACCGGTGCCTGCAAAAATAAATGGGTAGACCAGTGCCTGCAAAAATACATGAGTAGATCAGTGCCTGCAAAAATAAATGGGTGGACCAGTGCCTGCAAAAATAAATGGGTAGATCAGTACAGCTCTGCAAGCAGTTAAAAGCCTGGTAGACCAGTACCTCTGCTAAATCCTAAAGAATTGTCACATGACCATCAAGCCACGCCCACAAAATAAGCCACGGCCACAGGCCGGTAGTAAAAAAAATTAGAACCCACCCCTGTATTAAATTATATAGAGATTTTTGTCCTAGCCTTCTATAGAATATGCATCAGTCAGGGTATACGTTTTATCCCTTATGCTTAAGAATTTAAACCGTTTTGGGGAGTGGTGTTTTGTTATGATTTTTGCTGTTCTGTATTATATTTTTAATATTCCAAATCTGAGTTAATGTTCAATTTCCCTTGATTTTAAATTGCATTAGCTACATCTCAACATGTCTCCAGTGTATCCAGAATTACTATTATGATCTTAATTCAACAAATCTATAATTTTAATACATAGGCCTTATTTTTCCTCTAAATGTTCTCAGCAGTTGCTCTGCCATGGGCAGTTAACATAGATATTTGTGCTTTACTGTTTGCCCTATCTCTGCAATTTACCCTTGGGGGAACCTCAGGAAAAATATTAAATTCCTAAAATATGTAATTATCGCTGAAAGATAATTATTATTTTAGAAGTCATCATAGTCTGTGGTGACTGCAAGTACTATTAAACACACCAGCAACCTCCCATCCGTGCCTATGGAAAACTGGTTTACAATCTAATAAGGGGTTTTTGAAAAGCTGTTTCTCTTCAGAATTTCTGTAATTCCCACTTCAATTTTTAAAATGAAATCCTGAAGAAATATTTATTGAATCTTTAAGATGACCTAACCATTATGATGATAGTTAAAGTGGTTTATGAAGAGGGTAAAAACACAATATCACAACAAAAGAACGTCCTAGCATATATTAAAAGAAATTACAAAGTTGTATAATGCAGTGGGTAACAAATTAGAAATGAGAAACTCATGTAATCCAATAGGTTACAAATCAGCCCAGCCACTGCCTACTGGAAGAGCCAGCTCCTTCAGCCCTTCAAAGACAGCAGAGTTAGGACTATCTTAACCTTAGGGGGAATGGCATACCAGAGAGTAGGAGCATTGAAAGAGAAAACAAGTATCCCAAACCCCTAAGATGGCACTTTTTCATTGAGAGGTCCCCAAGTATGCTGCCTCATCTGATTTTATAGAATGGGAAAAGACAATTGGAGAAAACCCATTTTGAAAATAACCAGGCCTGAAGTTATAAAAGGCTTTATAGATGATCATCAATGCTTTGAATTACACCTGAAAGACAATAGGTAACCAGTATAAGTCTTAAAGTACAGGTTTTACGCAGGCATACTGAGGTGCTCCGATAACTACTCATAGCACAGTCTAGGATGACATAAACAAAGATCTATGTGGTTGAAATCCATCACAATAAACACTGTACTGTAGTGGCTTTAATAACCATTAGATAACTCTGCTGTAAACATATAGTGAATCAAATACTGTCTTGCTTATTAGATGTTCAATGAATAAAATCTTATGGCTTGCCTGAATGTTCCATGTTCACCTGGGAGTTTACCCACTCTATAGGCAAATTCAAAGCTTCCCAAAGTATTTAATTGCTACTGCTTTGCATCTTCAACTTCAAGTAAACTATCTTTCAATTTTGTGTATCTACCAATATATTGCTCCTTTTATTTTCTCTAAAGGCAGAAGCAGGAGAATTGTGGCATTAAACTGAAAAAAGAAAGAGAATCACCCACTGCTTTTATGTTCTTGAATGAGACATATAAATGAAATGAGTGCATCTAAATACATAGGGGTAGGGAGAATAACAGTAACTATTTTGTGAAGCAATCACTGATTGGAGAATGACCCTGCATTGACAATAGCTAATTGTAGCTAGTTACTTTTTAGATATAGTTGTTGTAGTTTATACTAATCATTTTATTCTGAAGGTGGGATGGACTAAAATCAACAATTTGAATCCAAATTGTCAGAGAAGTACAACTGATTTCTTTTATAGTAGTTTTTCATTCTCAAAGAGAATTCCAAGCGCTCAAGATGTTTGTTTGTATGTTTTGGTAAGGCTATTTTTCATGTTCTGACATGTGTTACTATAATTATTGAAAGGGACACCATCTATCGGCTTTGTATCTTTAAAAAATACATTTTAAAAAATGTTATCACTACGTATGCTGTTTAGAGAATGTACAGGTGAAATTCGAAAAATTAGAATATCGTGCAAAAGTTCATTTATTTCAGTAATGCAACTTAAAAGGTGAAACTAATATATGAGATAGACTCATTACATGCAAAGCGAGATAGTTCAAGCCTTGATTTGTCATACTTTTGATGATTATGGCTTACAGCTCATGAAAACCCCAAATTCACAATCTCAGAAAATT